TCACCTCTCGTTGTCCAACATATAGTGAAGATCCACCTGCACTGAACATCCCAGAGGAGTCCTGGCGATGAGTCCACTCTGTCCCGTTCCTGGAGGAACTCGCGAGCAGAGCCACAACATTCCATCTCAGGCACAAAGGTGTCCAGAGTCCAACAGCTGAGCCATGCCACAACAGCCTGAGCCTGCTCAGCCTGGTCTCTAAACAGGGACTCTCCAGTCTCTCCAGGGACAGGTCAGTCGCGGGCTGTGGCTGACCTGGAAAGGTAGAGAGACCGCTTCTCTGTAGTATAACTATGGTGCACCATTCCGTGGTCAGCCGACATAGCGGCACTGGCTGCGCCTCACCGTAGCAACACAACATGGGATTTCTGTGGATCTAGCTGGTTTACGAAGTGAGAGCTGCTTGACCTGGATATGACCTTGAAATCCACAAGAAGCACTCATCTTGTTTTGAAGATACTAATCACTCCTTTGGGTTGTATTTATGTTCCACGTATCACAGCAGACTGTGAAGTTTGCAGAAAGAACTGGGGAGTTCTCTTGTCCTGTCAGTACTCACGAGCACCCCCTCCTGGAAGAGAAGGGAGAGATGGTGAGGACGCGGAAGGTGAAGAAACCTACCTTGATAGGATTGTATGCAGTTGGTGCGAACCTTAGTACAGAAACTCAGACATGTACAAGATGCTGCATTTGGAGTGAGGGGTTGGCATGGAGGTTAAGATGCCACTTGCAACACTTGAAACCTAAATTTGAATGCCCAGGTTGAAGCCCGAGCTCTGCTTCTAATTCAGCATTCACCCCTGGCAGTCAGCTAGTGATGATTCAAATAGCTGGGTCATCACCATTTGCCTGGGAAACCTCGACCAAACTCTTGGCTTCTGATTTGGACCTGGCCCAGCCTCAGGGAGTTGAACTAGCAGAGGGAAGATCACTTCCTATCTCTATCTTAAATACCTTTGAAATAAATGAATACATAAATCAATTTTTGATTTTTTTAAAGTGCCCTACTTTCCTATAAACCTGAGTTACACTCTAAACCTCAACTGACCTAAAATGTAATTCCAGTTATTCTTGAGGCCTTGCCACACCTAAAACAGAAACCAACTAAAGAAATCTCCTTGGTACCTGAAAAGTGTAGAAAAACTTTGAAGTCATCCGTGCATGATGCTTAGTTTCTGCTTAGATTCCTGTGTGCCCCTGTCAGCCTCGTGAGGCGTGTCCAGAGGCCCGGGTCAATTGCTATACTGCTTAGAGTGAAACAGGGGCTTCAAGCATGAGGCAGTGTTCTTGTTGTCCCAACCTTAGGCTATATCACACTCTCTTGACTCGAAGCCCACATATTTCAAAAGGGTGTGATCATAGCATTCACATGTTCAGCTTAGCTGTTACATTTGTGGGCTTTGTGGCTAGAATGGGGGGGAAATGAGTGTCACAGACCTAGAGGGTCCTTGAGTGGAAGAAGAAACTAAAATTCAGAAAATTGAAATACCTGGTCCAACACCACATCATCAAGGCACCACAGAGACCAGGCTGGACGCAGGCTTCTCAGCATTTGAGGAAGTCCTTTTTTGACCCAGGTAGGAGTTCCTCTAACTCCTTCTCAGAGCCAGAGCCCTTCAAGATCGTCTGGCACTCACTGCGTGCTGCCTTCTCAGCCTGGCATCCAATGGGAAGTCCAGCCTCTGCCCCAAAGGGTCCCTGGAGGAAAAGCTCACAGGCTGGCCAGTAACCTGCTTGGCAGCAACACGATCAGGAGCAACATTCCTTGGATAAACTAAGCAATGGAATGGAACGTTCTCAGCTCCTCAGGCTCCCCCTATAAGCAATTGCTTACAGTCTCCAGCTATAAGCAATCCTCAAAAAATTACTGACTGGCTGCAGCTTACAGACAAGAAAGAGTGCTCCTCTAAATGCTAGAGAAAATGTACCCCACCCCACATGCCACGCCCCCATACTCTGAAGAACCCTGGGACTTCAGCCCTGACTTCCACTAGAACCCATAACTTGACCCAGGATGACAGGCTACATTGTCAGAGAAGTCAAGATGATCCAGCACACCACACCTAAATATAGGTGACAGCTCCCCCCTCATTCCCAACAGCCAAGACAATGAGACAATAGGGAAGCTGAACCAGAAATTAAACCACCACAACAAAACAACTCAATACACCCTGAATCAGACATAGGAGGAGATATTGTCACCCACAGCCTAGCAAGGGGAAATAATAAATAATGCACAACGTCAACCAACTATTAACTTTTCACGGACAGGTGTCCTGTCTCTCCTAGCCCTACTTGTAGCTCACTGAATAATACACATAATTTTTGTTAGGATGGAAAAAGAGTTAAGGGACTGAAGAAAGAGGCTACTGGGGGCTTCATTGCAGGGTGTTTAGGGGCTCTAGTCCTTCTGCCAACTGCAGCCCCAGCCTCACCACATAAACCTTCTCACTGTTTGCTTTCACTTTTGCCTTAACATGGCAGTAGGGAGTACTGATGTGGTGATGGTGCTATTTCCACCTAAACTAAACCAGAGGTCTTTGCCAAACCACCTTGCATGATGACACCCACCAGAAACAAGAAGTAGCAATCCGGAAGGCATGCTATATGAAGTCTGCGAGCCCACCCTGGTTCCTGCTCTTCCGGGGCCCTAGTCTAGAATGAAAAACACCAGCCACTCTGACCGGGTCAGCCCTGCAGGGAAGATGCTGCGCCTCCTGCTCCTGTGGCTCTTGCTTCTGCTCCCTGGGGCAGGTACAGGTGAGTGAGCATTTATCCCACAGGCCGGAGCTCCACGTCCTCCCAGTGCCTCCACCCAGCACTGTTCGGAGTCCAGGAACTTTCTGAGCCCCAGCTCTCGGCCCAAACCCAGACTCGGGAGTCTGGCACTAGGAAGGTATTCCATGGGGGTGGTAACCCAGAGGGTTCCCAGGGGGTGTAGTGGGATATCAGCCTCTCCCTAGACCTCTCCTCCATCACCCCACAAGGGATTTGTTCTTAGAAAGGCATTTGTCAGGGGCTGGCGTAATAACATATTAGGCTAAGCCTCCACCTGCAGCATTAGCATCACAATCCATGTGGGTGCCAATTTGAACCCCGGTCCCTGCACTGTTGATCCAGCTCCTTGTTTAGCGCTTGGAAAGGCAGTGGAGGATGGCGCAAGTCCTTGGGCCCCTGCACCCAGGTGGGAGACCTAAATGAAACTCCTGGCTCCTGGCTTTGAATCAGCCCAGCTCTGACCCTGGCCCATGAGGCCGTTTGTGCAGTAAACAAGCAGATGGAAAACTTCTCTCTCCCTCTCTCCTCTTTATCCTCTCTATCTGTAACTCTCCCTTTCCAATAAAAATAAATCTTTAAAAAGGGGCAGGGGGGATATTTGGCAGAGGATATGAAGCTATGGAAGATAAGCTGTTAAAACCCCTCCCTCCTTCCCCAGAAAGGCAGCTTAGACACCCAGCCGCAGGGATGGCCGCTGTCACCGAGCAAGTCGCATCATTCAGTCCCACCCAGGAGGAAGTCCCAGGTGCAGCTGCTCTCAGCTGGCACCCACAGCCCCTGCTGCCCTGGCTCCACCTTAGGATTTCTCAATCCTGTTGTGGCTGGTGTCTCCACCTCCCCTGGCCCTCCCAGGCCCCCGGGTGCTCCCTGATCATTAATGACAACCCCTTCTCACCTCCCTGCAGCCCCACCCCACAAGTCCCAGCCAAAGACTAACTGAAACCAATTTATTCATGCCACAAAAAATAATAATAATAACTGACCAGAAACCCAGGGTGTGTTTGGCTTTAGGAGATTAGAGATGACAGTAAATGGTCACAAAGAGGTGCCCATCAGGATATCAGTAAAGGCTCAGAAGGGTTAGGGAGACTTGGCAGGAAGGAAGGAACCACAGCAGTCATGTTCAGGACCCTCTGCAGTTTCACCACCATGACAGAGCATACCTCCTGCATGTTCCCGTGGGGTATGGGGAATAAGCGCTGTCCACCCTTGCTCGGGCCAGGACTCAGGCTTGAGTCACAGAAAAGGTTCTTCTGCCCACAAGGAGAGCTGTTCACCGAGCCTCAGAGGCTCCTCCTGCTGTCTGTAGGACCTATCCCCCCACCTCAACCACAGCTGCCCCATGGAGTTTCCAGGCCTTTTTTGCAGAGGAGATTATCGGGGGCCAAGAAGTCAAGCCCCACTCCCGGCCCTACATGGTGCTTGTTCGGTCTCTGGCAACACGTAAGAAGAGGTGCAGTGGGGTCCTGGTGCGAGAAGACTTTGTGCTGACAGCGGCTCACTGCCAGGGAAGGTGAGAACAAGGGCACAGCCTGTCTCGCCCAGGCCCCATAGGGGCTAGGTGGGGAAGAGGAATTCCTGGGGTCCTGACAACCTCCCAGAGAACAGGACAGGGACACTGAGAGGCTGGGGACTAGGACAGGGCAGATTTATGGCCAGAGGATCAGCAGAAAGAGAAAGTGTCACAGGTGAAAAGAGAAGGACCATGCTGGTCACATAAAGCCATGCCGACCATGGGAAGTAACCTGAAGTGTTGACGTGCACACAATTTTAGTACATCGCCTGCTAGCCAGGTGCAGCACCCAAAAGCTTTACTCTCAGCATTCTTTTAGCTTCTCCACAGTATTCTAAAGAAGCAGGAGACTCAGTCCCTCAACCAATGTCCCCTCAACTCCCTCTCAGCCGCATTCCTCCCCATGATGTCCCAGCTGTTCTTCACAGCTCCTGGGCTGCATCCCTGTGAGTCCACAGCCTCCCTTCCCTCACTCTGTCCCCTTACAGCAGTATGAATGTCACCCTGGGGGCGCACAACATCAAGAAGCCAGAGAAGACCCAGCAGGTCATCCCCGTGAGAAGAGCAATCCCTCACCCAAACTACAACCCCAGGGACTTCTCTGGGGACATCATGTTACTACAGGTAGGATACCTCCCCACTGCCCTTCCTGTCCCAGGTTAGTTGTCACTCCTCACCCCTGAGACTCTGCTCCTCCCCTCCATCTCACCCTGACTACTTAACCAATTCCGGTACTTCAGGGGACATGGGGCAGGGCAGGCCCAAACTGGGGTCCAGATGGCCACAGGGATGAGCTAGACCATCTTGCCTTTTACCCATCAGCTGGAGAAAAAGATCAAGCGGACTGCAGCCATACAACCCCTCAGCCTGCCCAGGGGCAGGGCCCGGGTGAAGCCAGGGCAGGTGTGCCATGTGGCCGGCTGGGGGCAGGTTGCCATGGGCACCCTAGCAACCACATTGCAGGAAGTAGAGCTGACCGTGCAGCCGGACTGGGAGTGCGAGTCCCTCTTCCGCAACTATTACCGCAGGGCCACAGAGATCTGTGTGGGTGACCCAAAGGAGAAGAAGACTGGCTGCAAGGTACAGTTCCTAATTCATGCCCAGAGCTGCCCTGTGGAGAGAGGGGGCTGAGAGAGGTCTGGGATAACGGGAGTGGTGACATCCCCTGTCCTCAACCCCCGTCAACCTGAGCATCTCAAGCATGTAGTCTTTAGCACATCCTGGGTAGGTCAAGCATGGGGAGGAATGAGGCACCCCGCTGCAGCAGCAGTGTATCCCTGAGGACTCAGGCTGGGTCTGGGCAGAGCTGGAAACAAGAGCCAGGTCCTGCCAGGAGCCCCAGCACCGAGGGAGAGGCTACAAGGCATGTCCTGGCCCTGATCTTAACACACACAGAGCCCCTGCACTCCTGGGGGAAGTGAGGTGGGTGGGTCCAGGAGGAGACCAACTCATACCTTCTCTTCTCTGCCCACAGGGAGATTCTGGGGGGCCGCTCGTGTGTAACAATATGGCCCAGGGAATTTTCTCCTATGGACAACAAAATAGAAGCCCTCCAGGAGTCTTCATCAAGGTCTCCCACTTCCTGCCCTGGATAAAGAGAACCATGAGGGACCACTAGTCGCAGGTGTCGGACTGACCTTCCTCTATCACCAAACATCTTTCCTGGATGAGAGGTTAAGGCCCTGCAGGGGTGGGCAGTGGGGGAAACAGCAGCATAATAAATGCATCTCCAGAGAAAATAAGACTGAAGCCTTACTTATTCATGATCTTCTTTTTTCTTTTTATTTACTTTTTAAATTTATTTTTGTTTGTTTGTTTCCAAACTTTCCATTTCTTCTTCCGATTTCTGGAGAGAGGAAGGAGATAAGGGGAGAAGCCACAGCCAGCCTCCCAAACACCCCAGTACCCAGAAATGGGGAATAAACACCTGATATCAACCCAGGGTCCTGATGTGGCACACGCTCCAAGGATGATAGTTCTGAAATGTGGTCAATCTCATCGATCTATGGATGATGAATCCCTTCCAATGTCCATTGACTGACACAGTTGGTTTTAGAGTCTCCATTTGCCCAGACACTTGCTGTCACCATTTAGCTGGGGTAGTTGTCCCTATGTTCTGTTCTTCATTTTCTGTTATGGTATCAGATGTCCTCTGTAGGGCCCAATGGATATCATATCTTCTATGTGCACCATGGTCTGCTGTCCAGCACTCCACCCTTTACTCTGAGGAGGACTAGTCCTCACATGTGGGCTCATAGACCCCGGGACAGGCCACCTGGGCCCCACCGAACCCCCTACCCCTGGGGCTCAGGGACCCAGTACCCACTGTGCAAGTGGGCCCGAGGACACAAGCAAGGTAACCCAAGACCCACCCAACCTCCAGCCCCCAAGACTCATGAGCCTAGCAGACACTGTGAAAGTGGCCCAAGGACCCGGGCCAGGTGACTTAGGCCCCACTGAACCCCCAACCCCGGAGATCATGGATCCGACACCCACCATGCAGGTGGGCCCTAGGACTCAGGACAGGTGACTGGGACCCACCAGATCCCCCACCCCCGGCATTAATGGACCCAGTACCCATCACGCAGATGGGTCCAAAGACCTGGGCCAGGCAACTTGGGGCCCGCCATATCCTGGGACTCACAGACCTGGCACCCACTGTGCAGGCAGGTCCAAGGACCTGGGCCAGGAGACCTGGACTCCACCCTGGGACTCATTGTTCCAGTACCCATCATCCAGGTGGGCCAAAGGTCCCAGGCCAGATGACCTGGGCCCCACTAGACCCTCCACCCTCAGGGCCCACGGAGCCAACACCTACCACCCAGGTGGAACAAAGTTCCCAGGCCCAATGACCCGGACCCCACTGAACCCCTCTGCCCTTAGGCTCATGGATCTATCACCCACCACTCCCAGACTGGCATGGTTCACCTCACCTTGGCATCAACCAGTGGATGCTGCAACCTGGTTCAGTCCAGCCTGCTCCCAGTTCCAGCTCCTGCTGGTTAGTGCTGCAGCCTAGCCTTGCCCAGTCAGCCCCTCGACCCAGACTCAGTGTGAACTGGCTGATGTTGCAACCTGACCTGGCCCCTGCTGCAGGCCATCCTGGTTCTCAGACATGCCAGTGGCTGTAATGAACTGGCCTAGCCTGGCCTGCTCCCAGACCTAACCCATATGTGTGCTGGAGGGTACTGTAATCTGGCCTGGTTTGGGCTGCTCCTTGCCTTCATTCTTGTGCTTATCTGCAGGAACTGCAGCTGCCAAAGGAGTTACCCAAGTTCCTCTAACTGGTCTCCTCCCAGCGGCAGATCTTGCATACACCAGTACACCCTTGGCCCAGGTTGACTTTGTTTGCCTCTTGTCCTGACAGGAATAGTAACCCTGCCCAATTGGGCATAACCTTTCCAGTTCTTACTGTTGGGTATTGCTGACCAGCCACACCTGGTTCATGCCCAGACAACTCTCACATGGTTCAGCAGGAGCCAAGATATAGCCCAGCCCATTCTACACCCACCCTGACTCTCACAAGTACCAGTGGGTGCTGGAGTCTAGCCCAGCCTGGCCCTCCCCAAACCTAGTCCACACCCACACTGAGGAAGGCTGTAGCCATGTCCAGCCCAGCCTAATGGCCCCATTCCAGCTCTTGCACTCATCAGTTAAGAATTCCAACCGAGCTAGGGAGTCCCCTTAACTCCCCAACCAGGCCTATTCCCAGCCACAGTTTTTATGCATGCCAACAGAGATCAGTGAGCCCACCTACTCTATCCCCAGACCCGATTCTATCATGTGCTTCTCTGCTTCATGTGCCCAGCCTCACATACCCCATTCCCTGTTATGACACTCACTCATAGGCTCCCTGATTTACCCCTTGGAGTACAGTGGCCTTGTCCACGGAAGTCCCCCAGAAATCATTCCTCACCTGGACATGAACCCTCAGGTCCCAGATCACCCCCATCTGTGCAATCCCCTAGACTCCTTGTAACCCCACACCGAAGTTCCCAGTGCACACTGTGGGCAGCCTCAGAGCTTTGCCCAGAGCCATCGGCACTCGGCTCAAGTTCCCTCAGCTACAGCCATACAGCCAAGAGAGCAAAAATCCCAAGCCTACATCCCAGGCTAGCTTAAGATCTACCCACAGCATGATGGAGGGGGACAGAGCTAAAATCCCCAGCCTCAAGTCCAGCCCCACATGAGTTCCCCCAGCCATAGCCAGGGAAGCAAAATTCCCAAGCTCCCAACCTGAACTTCTTTCAGTACACAATAATGTTAACTGCAGGCAGCTGTCAGTCCCAGCTTTTGCTGCCTCCTTAATCCTCCAGCTTCTCCTCCTCTATGAAGCCCATTAATCACATATTGATATATAGTCTTCTACCAGAGCAAAGTCTGAATCCCAGTAATAAAGGACAGTCTTTTAAAAGATTTATTTTTTTATTGCAAAGTCAGATATATATAGAGAGAGAAGGACAGACAGAAAGGAAAATCTTCTGTCCGATGATTCACTCCCCAAGTGGCCGCAATGGCCAGTGCTGTGCTGATCCAAAGCCAGGAGCCAGGAGCTTCTTCCAGGTCTCCCATGCAGGTGCAGGGTTCCAAGGCTTTGGGCCATCCTCAACTGCTTTCCCAGGCCACAAGCAGGGAGCTGGATGGGAAGTGAGGCCACCAGGACTAGAACCAGCGCCCATGAAACAATGGTCTTACCCACTTTCCTGTAGCCATTGGCCCTTTGCACCCTAATCAACTATGTGAAGATCATCAAAATAATAAGAAGAAAAATAAAAATATAAAAAATAAAACATTTCACCTGCTTTGAAATTTTTTTAAGATGCATGAGTCTACAGAGGCCAAGAACTGACTGACAAGCAGCTGGTCTACCAGCATAGTCTGCAAACACAAGGTGGAAGGCAGTAATGGGAAGCTTTGGTCTGCAGGTGGAAACCCAGCCATGATTATCAAACCAAGTTTCAAGATTTAGCTGAGAGGATACTTATTAGGACACAAGGATTTGGCATGATTTGTAAGAGCATTGCAAAAAGTCAAAATGATTACAAAGGAGGGAATGGGCTAGAAGGGTCTGGCAGGTGGGACACACACACACACCACCCCACCCCACCCCACCTTAGCAGACCTGCAGCTGGGTCAAAGCCATGTTCTACTGGCTCAGCTAGTTCTGGGCCTCTGCCCCGGTTGAGACAGATGACTCAGAAGGACAGGCCAAGGGTGATGTCTGAGAATCTGAGAACAGAACCTTTTCGATGGCAGTGCAGGCTATAGACTGAATGAAGGAAGGAAGCAGACACTCCATAGTTTGTTCCAATTATAAGGACATTCCTTATCCCTCGATACAGCTGACTTCCAACAATTCACAGAACAGGATGAAATGTATGTCATAGAGCTTCATGCTGTCTCTACAGATGTGTTGCAGTTGCTACTAGGAACCCCTCGGAGGTTTCCCTCTCCTGGCTCTGGCCACAGACAAGCCCCAACCATCGAAGGCAACTGGGGACTAAACTAGTGAGAACAGTGCTTTCGCTCACTCGTTCACTCACGCACTCACTAGCTCTCTTTTACACACACACTCACAAATAAAATAAAAATTACAAGAAATGGGTGTACATACACATACACATATACATAGTTGAACAACTGCATACATATAAAGGAATAAAATGCCAAGAAATAATGCTTATGCTAATTATGGGTAAGGTCCTTTGGTAGCTTAACTTCTATTCCACTACCTGTTAAAAAGCTGAGCTATTCTACAACCTGTTAAAGCAGGATTACCTGAAGCTTAGATAATATTATCTTCCTCTCTGCACTAGCAGAAGATGAGGAAAGTCAAGGAGAGTTGGTAGAGCAGGGGATGGAACCCCAGGACAAGATCTTACCCACTCAGTCACAGAGTAGATGGGACTGGAACTGGAATTTTCTGTTTTCCCTTATTATCACATATCTTAGGTACTATTTTCAAGAAACCTTATAGATAGATATAATCAAATGGGTTTTTGTAAATCAAGTCTTATCATTCATTGCTAGATTCTCCTGATGCCAAAGCAAGAGGCCCTTATACTCTTCTACCATAGAGAAGAGAACCCAACCAATGTGGAAGAAACTACAGACATAGGGGAAGGAGGATCTGCTCCAGGCATGCCCCTACAGCCAAAATCCAAGCTTGGTCTTACTTAAATCCACATAGAGGTCAGTAAGTGATGGTTTGTTTGCTTGTTTGTTTTATACAAAGAGAAGAAACATAGAGAAAGATCTTCCATCCATTGGTTCACTCCCCAAGTGGCTGCAACGGCTGGAGCTGAGCCAATCCAAAGTCAGGAGCCAGGAGCTTCTTCCAGGTCTCCCACACAGGTGCAGGGTGCCAAGGCTTCAGGCTGTCCTCGACTGCTTTCACAGACCACAAGCAGGGAGCTGGATGGGAAGCAAGGCTGTCAGAATTAGAACCGGCACCCGTATGGGATCCGGGTGCATTCAAGGCGAGGATT